CAGGGTCAGCAAACTGAGACCCACTGTGTTTTTGTATGGCTCACAAGCTAAGAATGATTTTTCCATTTTTAAATGGTTGGGGAGTTGATGTGAAAATTATAAATTATATGAACTTCAGATTTCGATGTTAACAAAATGTCCCTGAAATACAGCCACACTCAGGCCATTTGGTTACTACCCTTCGAGCACCAATACGTCATGTACTGGGTATCGCTGTTCTCACGGTTAAATGGCAGAGCAGTTGTGACAGATTGTGTGGCACTTTTTAGAGCAAGTTCGCCAACCCCTGGTCTAGAGCGAGCAGCCCACATGCCCTTCCCATCCCCACCCCGGCATTGGAGCGATGGAGCGGGAGCCTCTGGCAGAGGCTCAATGGTTTTTGTCCCCTTAGGGCTGCGGAGTGGCAGCTGGACCAGCCGTCATGGAGTGGCCGGCTGCGGATCACTGCAAAAGGGCAGGTGGCCTACATCAAGCTGGAGGACAGGACCTCAGGTAAAGGCAAGGGAGGCCTGCTCGGGGCTGAGGCGCCATGCCTCCCACTGTGCGAAGGGAGAGGCAGCCCGGGCCTGATGAGGCCTCTCGGGGGTCATGGGAACCTGTTGTGGAAACCAAAGACCCGAGTGCACCGTTAAGCCTCCTCCATTCCCTCACCTTTAATTGTAGTAGCCACTGTCCACAGCACTAAAGGGGGCATTTCTTGCCAAGCACCTGTTCTTTTGGGGGGTCCTTAAAAAAATACTAATTTTGGAGCCCAAGGAGAGGAGACCTACAGGTTGGTCCCAAGTGGGAACGCCTAGAGCAGGGGTCCTCAAACTTTTTAAACAGGGGGCCAGTTCACTGTCCCTCAGACTGTTGGAGGGCCAGACTATAGTTTAAAAAAAAAACTATGAACAAATTCCTATGCACACTGTACATATCTTATTTTGAAGTAAAAAAACAAAACGGGAACAAATACAATATTTGTATTTGCATGTGGCCCGCGGGCCGTAGTTTGAGGACCCCTGGCCTAGAGGTTGCCTTGAGACACGTTGGGTGAAAACACAGCCCTTTGCCGCTGAGCTCTGCTGCTCAAGAATTCTGTATATCGACTAAATGGTGACTCCCCAGACCAACCACGCCCATTAACTGAAAGAGCTGGAACTGCCTCCTTAGCTCTTTCTGTGGTGAGAGGACGAGCCAGGCGGGGCGGTGTTGGGGTCAGCTGGCAGGTGTCACTTTGGGGAAATCGCTCCGGAAGCCCTGTGCCACCAGTGCCTCCGGGTGGGCTGTGGAGAGCAGTACGGCCTGGAATAGCCCAGCCCCCAGAGCAGGGATCGGGCACAGTGCCTGCTCAGGTGCCTCGACATTCGGTTGTCTGTTTTTCTAATATGTAGACATTTTTCTTCGTGCAGTGGTATAAAGTGCAAAGACTCATAGGCAAATGAATTCTCAGAACTGTGTCATTTGTGTCTGAGCTGTGGGACCTTGGGCGAGTCACATGACCTCTGGTGCCTTGGTCTCCTTTTTGTTGAAATAGGGATCGCATTAGTTCCTACTTCACCAGGTTGTTGGAAACCCATCCAATTGCTGTGTGAACTGGAGCATGGGGTTGGCTGGGTGAGTATTGTCTGCAGAGGAGGTAGAGGAGACAGCTGCCATGGCCAGGCCAGAGAACTCTGGCTGTGAGATTTGCTGGGATGTGCCAGGTGGTGTCACAAGGGAATGGAACACCTGTTCCCTTGGGAACTGACTTTAAGGGAACCACCTAATGTAATAGCCTGTCACTGTTCAGGATCAAGCCTCACCCAGGATGCTCTTAGCTTGGCGTCATGCCCACTGGGTCATGTTTTTTTTTTTTTTAAATATATTTTATTGATTTTTTACAGAGAGGAAGGGAGAGGGATAGAGAGTTAGAAACATTGATCAGTTGCCTCCTACACGCCCCCCACCGGGAATGTGCCCGCAACCGAGGCGCATGCCCTTGACCGGAATCTAACCTGGGACCCTTGAGTCCGCAGGCCGACGCTCTATCCACTGAGCCAAACCGGTCAGGGCCCACTGGGTCATGTTTGACTCTCGCTTTCCAGTCACTCGGCCAAGGATTCTCAGCCTCAGCACTAGTGGCATTTGGGGCCAGGGGAGTGTTGTGGGCTGTCAAGTCAAATTTAAGATATTTAACAACATCCCTGGCCTCTACCAACTACATGCCAGTAGTTCCCCTGCCCCCCAAGTTGTGACAACCAAAAATGTCTCCAGACATTGCCAGATGTCCCTTGGGGGAAGGGGAGGTAAAACCATCCCTGATTGAGAACCACTGCTCCCGGTTGAAGACATCCAGGTGAGTCCCGGATGCCCCAGCACCAAACGGGTGGGGCAGAGAAATGAACCAGAAGCCGCGGACTCTAGGCCCACAGATTCTGATTCAGCTCACCCTGGATTGCAGTCACCTCTAAACCACAGGTTTCAGTAGAAAATATTTGGCTAAATATTTAAAGCACCAACAAAGATCAGCACAGGGGGAAATGGTGCCAGTCATAAATGCTCACAGAAGTGTGTGTTGCGCTGCACCCCGGAGAGCTGTAGTTGACACGGGGCTGCATTTCTCCAGGGCTCCTTTTAAAACCAGTCCCTCTTGCTCTGTCTCTGAGACTAAATCGGCCTGCTTCAGGTTCTTCTATGGGTGCAAGAACTTTCTCCCTCATTTCCACTGGGTTCCCCGGCTCCTCTCCAGTCCTGCCTCAGGTACCAGGTCTTTTCCGAAGGTGTGATATACCTGTCCCAGGGCCCTCAGGGTGCAGGCAGGTATGTAAATGTGTAAGACAGATGGAACGGGTGGCCAGATGGAATGGTTAAATGAGAAATACTAAAACTAAGCCCCATCTGACTTAAACCTTTTGTTAGTTCTATTTCTATGTCTTCCCTTCAGCCAGAATGGATTTGATTTGAATCCCAGAGTAAGGTTTGCCCACATGCCTCACAGGAAAAAGGCCCCAGTGGGATATAGGAACATCAGGTTGGAGGGGGCTCAGGGCTCACCCTCACTTGTGCTTTCAGGGGAGCTCTTTGCTCAGGCCCCAGTGGATCAGTTTCCTGGCACCGCCGTGGAGAGCGTGACGGATTCCAGCAGGTACTTCGTTATCCGCATCGAAGATGAAAATGGTACGTGAGGGTCTCGGTGCTTCCTCCTCGTGAGAAAGGGTTCTCTGCCTCCATGTGGGACTGATCACGTGTCCTCCTCTAGGACGACGGGCGTTCATTGGACTTGGCTTTGGGGACCGAGGTGATGCCTTTGACTTCAACGTTGCATTGCAGGACCATTTCAAGTGAGTGGTTCGGGACTCACGTGCTCATGCCTCCTCCCTGCTCCCCTGGACAGAATGGTTTCCCAGGTTAGGATCCCAGGTGGTGGTGTGCGATTTGTCTTCCAGCAGAGCCTCAGGACAACTCACTTCTCTTCTGGGACAGGCTGGCTTCTCTGCATCCTACAAGGCCTCCTCTCTGCTTTGAAGTCATGTCCTTTTCCTCAGGCCCATCTCTGCCACCTCATTCCGCTGCCCAGACTTTGAGGGGTCACCTTTCTTCCCTTATGAGCCCCTGAGCAGCCAGAGTCTTTGTCAGGTTCCTGTGGCTTTTCTGGGCCTGTTGCTCTGATAGACTAAGTGGTGCTTGGATTCCCAGGCCACCCAACAGGTGCCCCGGTGGTCCTTTCTGAAGCTCAAAGGCAGGGCAGGGAGACTGCTTCCTGCCATCCGCAGGCCTCCACCTCTGGCTTCCAGCCAGTGGGGAGCGTGTGGCTGCTCACAAGCAGGCCTCTCTGGCTCTTCCCTGTGCTGGGGCCCTTGCCCCAGGTGGCTATGGATGGGTGTTTTATGGAAGACCTTTGTGTTGCTCTCTCCTACCTAGCATCTGTCGTGTCTCACCATCTGCTTTATGAGCCCTGAGGTGGGGGTGGGGGGGTAGGGGTGGAGTCCCTATCTTAGTTCTCATGCCAAGTGCTGGGGAGTAGAGGGCCAAGTTTTCAGATGAAGACCAGCGTTAGGACGCTCTACATAAGTGATCTCATTGAATTCTTAGAACAGGCTTTAAGACGTAGACTGTTCAACCCATTTTGCTGATGTGGAAACTGATATGCATGCAACTACTTAAGTGTCACAGGCGGGATTTGAATTCAGGCCTCACTCCCAGCCTGCGTTCCCCTACCATCTGCTGCAATAAAAGCCTCGTCCTGGACTGATGGCAGGTGGTAGTGAAGTGAGTGTGTGGATGCAGAGCAGCTGGTCTTTTCCTCACCTGTGTCTTCCTCCCCCCAGGTGGGTGAAACAGCAATTTGAATTTGCAAAACAAGCCCAGAACCCAGACCAAGGCCCCAAATTGGACCTAGGCTTCAAGGAAGGCCAGACCATCAAGCTCAACATTGCGGTGAGTCCCACCCTTGCTTGGCTGTATTGGCCATGACCCGGTGATACTGTGGCCACCACACTGAGCCCAGTCCAGAGCCCAGCACTCTTTCTCACAATTCAGCTCATCAGTCCGGCAGATGTTTATGGAGCAGCTACCTTGTGCCAGTTACTATATGGGGTGAATGAGAGGGCTCTGCTGTCCTCTCAAGTTGAGATGGGCAAGTCAAGATGTGAGTACAACATGGCTGGAGAGGTTCTGTGACCTAGGGATGTCCTCAGGGCCATGAGTTCCTAGAGCCGTGGTCGGCAAACTGCGGCTCACGAGCCACATGCGTTTCTTTGGCCCCTTGAGTGTGGCTCTTCCTAAGCCTTAGGAGTACCCTAATTAAGTTAATAACAATGTACCTACCTATATAGTTTAAGTTTAAAAAATTTGGCTCTCAAAAGAAATTTCAATCGTTGTACTGTTGATATTTGGCTCTGTTGACTAATGAGTTTGCCGACCACTGTCCTAGAGGAAAGGTGTGTGTGTAGCCCAGAGTTACAAGATTCTTGGAAGGCTTCCTGGCAGAAGTGACCTGTAAAGAAGGGAGGAAGGGTCAAAGGGTGACTCCAGGGGAGGGAACAGCATGTGCAAAGCCTTTGAGTTGAGAAGGAATATCCGTCACTCGTTGCCAGAGCTGGGGATTTTGTCCTGGCTGTTACAGTGGGGGTCAGTGTGCCCATTTCAAGCGGCGTCTTGGCCTTACCCCTTGAGTAAGGAAGCTTTGGGAGTGCTGTGGGCAGGAAGACATCAAGATGGGCACAGGGGGTCATGGGTACCTTCTGCTGGTGGTGTGGTCCTGGCTCGCTGTGTCTTTGTCCTGAGCTGCCCTGCTTCTGGCTTTTCCCTATTAATTGCTATCGGACTGGCGAGGTTGCCAAGACTTGGCCTTGATCGACTACGGGGGTGGAGTTGAAATAATTTGGGGGAACCAAGGACCACATGGATTTGATTTTGAAGAAACTTTGTAACCCTAAAATAATGCTCTTCCTCTTGACTTACTATCTCTTTCTCCTCTGTTCTGCTTCATGCTAGTGATGATTTGGGACCTTGGAGTTATCTGGCCCTTAAGAGAAAATGCAGTGGACTGGTTGGGATGTGATTCTTTCTCTTGCTGGGAGGAAACTAACATTTACTGAGCAGCTGTGTGCCAGGTAGTGTTTTCAGGCACTTTCTCATCTGAATTAAATATTTTCTCCTTTTACAGGCGAGGAAGCTGAGGTTTGGAGAGGTTATAGGACTTGCCCAGGGTCCTAGAGCTAGAAACAGCCAGCCTAGCTGGACTCACACTGAGCTCTGAGGGCTTTTGACTCAGGGCTGTGGTCGTAGCATTTGATTAAGCTGCTGCTTTCCTTACAAGTAGGGATCCAGGTCGTCTTCATCCTTGTAACTCCTCCAGATTTCTGGCTCATGCTTGGTGCTCAGGTTTTTGCTTTTTGCTTTTTTTAGTGTTTTATTGAAGTATGATATGCATACAGAAAAGTGCAGAGCTCAGTGAATTTTTAAAACCGGAATTTACCCACACAAGCCCGCCTCCAGATCAAGAAGCAGGTTATCAGCGCCCTGTACCCCTCTCCTGCTCTCCCTAGTAACTACCTACCTCGAGTAACCGCTGCCTGACCGAATACCCTGAATTTTTTTTTCAGCTTTTATTAATTGAGTCATACACTCTGTACCCTATTGTGTACAACTTCTTTCTTTTACTGATGTGGTATTTGCGAGGCCTCCACACTGTTGCATGAGTCATTCTCATTGTGGTGGCATATCCCATTGTGAGAATGTATCCAATGACTTACCCCTTTAACTGATGGTGGACATTTGGGTAGCTTCCAGTGTGGGGCCATTACAAGCAGTGCTGCTAAGAATGTTCCAGCGCATGTCTCTCGGTGCACAGACATGGGCATTTCTGTTGGGTCTGTGTCTGAGAGGGGAATTGCAGGGACATCACTTCAGGTGCCCAGCTTTCTACAGTTTCTCAAAGGCATTTACCCACCTGACACTCCCACCAGCAATGTGTGAGTGTTCTTTTTTTATTTTTTAATATTTTTATTGATTTTTAGAGAGAGAGGGAAAGAGAGAGAAACATCGATCAGCTGCCTCTTGCATGCCCCCTACCTGAGATCAAGCCTGCAATGCGGGCATGTGCCTGACCAGCAATCAACTGAGCCACACCAGCCAGGGCACTGTACTAGTATGAGTCTTCTGGTTGCTCCATACCCTTGTCAGTAGTTATGTTCTATGTTTTAGCCATTCTGGTGGGTACATAACGGTGTATCATGGTATGTTTGATTTTGCCTTTTTCGATGATTAATAATTTCAGGTGTTAAAATTAAATGTGTTTGTGATAACTTTAGAATTGTGAGGCGTTGAATACATCTCGTAACAATGGAAGTGCTGGACGGGTCTTGACCATCTATCTGTTGGTTTTACACGTTTGGGACTGGGGTCACCTTGGCCCTCCTTGTGGGGTTTTCTGATAGCGGTGGGGCTCCAGCAGAACTGACTGGTTCACATTCCTCTCCTCTCTTTAGAACATGAAGAAGAAGGAAGGAGCCACTGGGACTCCCCGAGCACGGCCCGCCAGCACAGGAGGACTGAGCCTGCTGCCCCCTCCCCCGGGGGCAAAACCCTCCACCCTCATCCCTCCCCCTGGGGAGCAGTTGTCTGTAGAGGGGTCCCTCGCCCAGCCAGCAGTTGCTCCTGGTTCAGGTTAGTGCTTGGGGGTGATTGTACTTACTGCTAAGTCTGTGCCTGCGGGTTCCTCTCCCTGCTGGCAGCTGATTTTCCTTCCTTCCCTCATTGATCTGTCGTTTAGTAGCTGTATGTGACCAGCAGGAAGGTGAGCACAGCACAGCTGATCCTGCCCACACTGGGTATAGGGTTCCTCTGTTCCCCTGATTCCCACCACTTACTCTTAGGGTGTCTTGTCTGTCCTTCCCTGATGGGCAGGGACTTCAACTCATTTGTGAAGGCATCACATGGTCCCTAGTTCTCAGAGGCTGCTCAGTGAGTATTGAGTAAGTGGGTGATGGAGACACAGTCTGTGCTCATAGGGCACTGAGAGCTAGTAGGAGACAGGAGTCACAGGCCAGAGACTGGAGACCAGGCTCACTGCCAGCCCTCAGGATGGAGGGCGGCTTCACGAAAGAGGTCACATTGAGCTGGGCCCTGAAGGAAGGAGATTGGGGCAGGGAACACTTGGGACTCCATTCAGAGAGAAGAGCGGAAAAAGCTCAGACTTTTAAACACCTGGTGTATTGAGGAAGGTGGATGCAGCACAGGAGCGCCAAGGTGAGCGGTGAGGAATGAAATTGGACATTTCGTTTGGAGCAAGGCCATCGGGGTGCTGAGAAGCTGAGAGGCATTCCCCCCAGCAAGCTGTGTGGTGCTTGTTCCAGGATGTAAGGAATGCCTTCTAGAGACCCCGGAATTCCAGAAGTTAGTACCTGGTGCTGGCCTCCCAGCCCAGCCTCCCCACCCTGCCTGATGCCCTGGCCGGCCCCAGGCTGGGTGATTGTTACCAGCCCACTTTCTCCACACACTGCTCACCAGCTTGGAGGCAGGATCCAGGCAGGAAGCCTGCTTTCTTTCCATCCCAGGCTCGTGGACATTGGCTCCCCTATCTGGAGGTCAGGCTTCCAACTTCAGCCCTTAGAGGAACACCCAGCCCAGGAAGTAGCGGGAGCAGCAGGCAGCGAGCCCCCCGCCTCGCCCCGGGGGTTATTCTTTCAGCATTGGTTCTCAGTGAGGTCACAGGACCACCTGCCTGGGCATCGCTGGGGGCAGGGCCAGGAATCTGCGTTCTTAATGTTATTTGTGTGTGCACTGAGGTCTGAGAGCCACTGTCTTAGGCTTCCCCTCGGTTGCTGGTGCCTTTTTAGCAGATTACATGAAGCACCTGCTATGTGCCAGGTAGCATTTTAGGCCCTGGGGATACTGTGAGTATAACACCAAGTCCCTGCTCTCAAGGGTTTATGTGCTGATGTGAACAAAAGGCAATTAGCATGTCTGCAAACTAAATGGTGTTGGATGACAAGAGTCATGACTAGCTGATATTTATTGAGCATTTACTGTATGCTCCAAAACCAGACTGGCTGAGTTCAAATTCTAGCTTATCAGTAGTGTGATATCAGAAAACTGCCACTTCTCTGTGCCTCAGCCTTCTCATCTGTAGGATGGGGTAGTAATGATACCTACAATATAGGTCTCTTATAGCGATCAGATGTGATGTCCCTTATGAACATGGTACGTGCTCACATTTGTTAGCCCCATTTTACTAATGTTATTGTCACTGTGCTGGGCCTGTTCTCAGCATTCCACATAAATTAATTTATTAATCCTTAGACAGTCCTGTTCTGTCACTGTTCCGTCTCCATTTCAGACGTAAGGAACAGCTGGTCCTGGCGTGTCTTCCCCAGGCACTGTGGTGAGGTTCCGAGGAGATAAGGGATGTTAAGCACGTGGTGAACTATAAAACTAAACCGTTGAGGGCCTGAGTTTTATCTGGTCTCAGCCCAGAGCAGATTAGAAATAACAAATTGGTGGGAAGGCAGAGGATGGCAGGCACAGGGACAGTTGGCAGCACTGTCCAAGGAGGTGCCTAAAACGCACAAAAGCAGGCACTGAGGCCCCATTGTGCCACCCACCTCGGCAAAGAGGTGCACAGATAGCAGCTTCTGTGGTGCCTTTTCTGGATGGCTCTCCCGACCCCTAATCAGTTTAGCTCTCAGGACTTGGCACATGTCTGACACACAGTTATCTTAGCTGGATGATCCCGACACTGGACTGAGGGCTTTGTGTGAAGATGATCTTGCAGTTTGGGTGGGCATTTTCCATTCAAGAAGCCAGGGCAGGAGATGGTACTCTTTTTTTTTTAATACCCGAGGAGTGAGGATATTTTTTCTATTGATTTCTAGAGAGTGGAAGGGGACGGGGACAGAGAGAAACATCGATGTGAGAGAGATACATCAATTGATTCACTCTCACATGCACCCCGATGGAAGGCAGGGACCGAACCTGCAACCAGGTACATGCTAACTGGGAATCGAGCCCACGACCCTCCAGTACACAGGCTGATACTCCAACCAGTGAACCATGCCTGCCAGGGTGAAAGGGTAAATTTTAAACAGATTTTCAATATAAACTGTTAAAAAATAGGGTCAACTTCAGATATGTGTGACAGATGGTGTGTGACCCGCCCTCACTGGCACCCCTCCCCTCCACCTTGTATGTGGCTTTCTGCTTTTTCTCCAGGAGCCCTCAAGGGCTCATGAGGAGATGGTAGAAATGTGCCAACTTGTTGATGTTTAGTTGCCCAAAAGCATGTCTCTGTGTGTGTCCTTCTCAGCCACTTGGAATTATGAGACTGATTTCAGGGTCACTGAGAAAACCAAAAAGATCTCTGACTCCTGTCTCCTTCTCTTCTCTTCCTACCCATCGGACTTGGGGACATCAGTAGGAGGCGCCACTGTGTCCTGGCCGCAGCCCACGCCTGCCACCACTGCCACCTCCGACATCTGGGGAGACTTTGCAAAATCCACAGGGTGAGGAGTCACATTCTCTGTGGTGGGACAGAGCCCCAGAGCACCCGCGTGGGTGGCACAGCTCTCCAGGAAGGCTTTTTGTTGCTCCTCTGCTAGGTGGCCTGGAGCCGCCTCCTGCAGTTCTTTCTGGTCTTCACATTCCCTCGTCAAGTGCTTTGGCTTGTTCCCAGCACCTCCTTCCTCCCCCTGGCCCAGCCCGCCCAGAGCACTGCACTGAGAATTAACCTGGCTTCTAGCCTTGGCCTCTCCTTCTGGGACCCCTGAGGCCCATCCTTAGGCCTCTCTGACCCCATAACATTTCAAGCCTTTACCTGGGGTCGGGGTGAAAAGGTGCTAAAATCCTACTGCTCCAGGCTCTAGGACAGGAGTCAGCACACATTTTCTATGAAGGACCAGATAGCAAATAGTTTAGAATTTGCCGGCCATCTTGTCTCTGTTTCAGCTACTCCATTCTGCTCTTCTGGCTCAAAGGCAGCCACAGACAATATGTAAATGAATGGCTATGTGCCAATAAAACTTTATTTGTAAAATAAGGGGGGTAGGTTTGGTCCCTGAGCTCCAGTTTACTGACCTCTGCTCTAGAATATTCAGAGCTGACTTCTTGAGAAGATGGCAGAAATGTGGCAACTTACTGATGGAGCTCTCTTTGTCCAGAGAGAAGCCACCTTTTATCTGCTTTGTAGTTTCAAACATCTAAACCCTCTCTCCCCTCCCTGTCTTCCCTTCACAGGGCAACTTCCAGCCAGACTCAGCCAGGCACCGACTGGGTCCAGTTCTGAGCTGAGCACAACTCTTCTTAATCCTCACACAGCTTCTGGGAAGGAGCTGCCTCATCTGGGCCGAAGGAAGGAAGACGAAGCACTCCCTGGCCAGCCTCTGTTTGGAGCATGACTCGCTCCTCTCGTCCTTGCCTGACTCTCTTGACAGACTGGGCCGTTAGGCAGTAAATTGTCACCATGTCACACTGCTTCCTGGGACTTCATTGTGCAGCCAGAACACGAGAAGACAAGCTCCAGGATCCCTATCCCTGTCTGCCCTCTGACGTGAGAGAGACTGAGACTACTACTTCCACCACAGTGACCTGTAATAAACACAAGCCCCCAAAAGCAAAAGAAGGGGTTCAGTGTGCCGCCTGGATTCAGATGAGCCCTTCTCGGGGTTACCGGTGCCTCGGGACCCCTGTGCGCAGGGGAGCTTTCTGCACTCCCGCTGGCTGCAGCCACTTCCGGCACGGCTCCTTCAGAGGAGGGCTTCCTTCTGGCTTCTAGCAGGTTATAGGCTGCAGCTTGAACAATCAGAAGGGAAATTGGAAGCATTAACCAGCTTTCTAGAATTTTTAATATTTGCTTTGCTCATGGGCTGATCTGCACTAACTTGTTACCTTTGCAAAAGGAACCGTTCCTGCAGTGTGCCCCAAAAGGGCTTCTGAACACATTCCTCACTGGGCCGCAGGTGCTGCTCTGAGCTTCAGGCAGCGGCGTTCATCTCAGCCACGTGTCCTGGTTTCCTGTCTCCCAGGCCAGGTAGGCGGTGCAGAGCCGAGGCAGGCGCTGGAAGCCAGGTGGAACGGTGTTTGGGCAGGAAAGTGGAAGCTGCTCTCTTGGAGGTGGGGGTTCAGCCTTCCTGGCAACTCGGGGGGTTCCCAGGCTCACGGTGCAGTTCCTGGTGGACTGGAGTTTTCTTGGTTTCTTAAAGGCCTTGTTTGCAGACAACCTCTTACTGTCTTTTCTCCTTCATGGACTGTACATGACAGAGCTCAGACTGAACTTTAGTGTTGCCTGTATTGCTGGTTTATACAAAATAATTTTATCTGAGCACATCTCTAAAATTGCTTTTATCAACATACTTTACCTCTTGATGAAAAGATTTCTCTTGTGAAGGGTCAAGATGATGAACTGAAAAAAGTATTGGCCATTTTCTGGGGCCAGTTTTCTAAGATAAAAAAATAAATATTTTTACTTCTGTCAATGTATGTCTAAGGCAAACCTGTTCTTGGGGGCATGGCCTCTAAACCGTCCAGGATGCTAGGACTAGCTCACAACCACCGCTCCCCATTGATCACGTGTACAGATTAAAGTCTGGGCCAGGGTCTCAGGTTGGCCAAAGTGAGAGAATTGGGCCCTGTTGCTCTAAGGCAACCAGTCCCTTCTTCCCCTTGCATCTATAAGAGTATAACCTTTTTGCCATCCTGGGACATTCTGGTCTCCTTGTTCTAACATGGGCGGGGGCCGTGGCCCACCATGACCTCCCTGTGGAAGCATCTCCCTAAATACTAAGGGCGTACAGGCATACGGAGGTCAAAAAATAAAGTTCAAAAAGGCCATGGCACTTTTTCCTGAGGGTTCTGTAAAAACAATGTAGTTGTTATTTCTTATTATGGAAATAACCACTTAGTATAGGGAGAACAAAGAAAAGTAGAATTGAGGATCCTCGTGCCCAGTGAATAAGGATAAGGAAATTGCATCAATGGGTTCTCAGGAGGAGAAAGCTTTGTCTATTTCCCATCACTTCCCATTTCTCTACACGCTTGGAAGCTGAGAATGAGGAAGTTTAGACCTAGGGGGATCCCTTCTTCGTCAGCAGTACAGACCATCAAAGGTAAGCACTTGGGTTCTGGAGACAGACCTGGGCTTTGGGTCTAGGCCAGTGGTCGGCAAACTCATTAGTCAACAGAGCCAAATATCAACAGTACAACGATTGACATTTCTTTTGAGAGCCAAATTTTTTAAACTTAAACTATATAGGTAGGTACATTGTTATTAACTTAATTAGGGTACTCCTAAGGCTTAGGAAGAGCCACACTGAAGAGGCCAAAGAGCCGCATGTGGCTCGCGAGCCGCAGTTTGCCGACCACGGGTCTAGGCTGTCTCCTGGTTAGATGTGTGGCCACAGACTCCTTCCTTAACCCAGGTGTCACTCAGATGAGACAGATAAAGTGCTAGCAGGTGCCCATTGTATAGTTTGGTCTTAATCACCTTTACGTTGATAGTAGCGATTGTATAATGCTTACTCTGTGCTAGTCCCTATTCTGTGCACTCAACATAAAACTCATTTCATCATCCCAGTTTTACAAATTATGAAACTGAGGGAGGGTTAGATTATGTAATTTGCCCAGTCACATAGTGGCAGAGGTGGGATTGGAACCCAGGCAGTCTGGCTCTAGCATCCATGCTTCTAATCAAGTTGATATACTTGAGTGGTGCTGCCCACAGGGCTGGCACATAGGACCTGCTTAATACGTGGAAGTTCCCATTCCCTCCACGTGGATTAAAGCAATAATATGGCAGGTGTTGAATGACAGGCCAAGGGGGGGTCTTTATTCCATAGGTCCGTGATTTTCAACCTTTTTCATCTCATGGCACACAAACTAATTACTAAAATTTTGCGGCACACCGCCCAGTGGGTAGCTCAGTGGGTTAAAGCCTCATGCCTATACACTATGATTGCGGGTTCGATCCCCAGTCAGGGCACATACAAGAATCAACCAATGAATGCATAAATAAGTGGAGCAACAAATCAATGTCTGTCTCTCTCTCTCTCTCTCTCTCTCTCTCATTCTTCCCCCTTCCTTTATCTCTCTAAAATAAAATAAGCTATCCATCAAATCCAGTTAACCGGAACACCTGAACTTGAAGCCTCCGGGTTAATGTGGTTTTGCTGATGGTGGGCAGAGTCCAACCCAGCTTAGCGCCTGGATTAGGCAGGCTCTTGGCCCTGGCAACCTGGGGGAGTAACTCTGTCACTTGCTTCCCAGTTACCTGAATTGCAGATTTAGAATCCACTGCGGTGAGCAGGTGAGTACTCAGCACACCTCCCTTCTTGGCAGTTGGTCCGGGGGTCGCTGGGCTGGGCACCACCTGGTTATGGGGCAGGGTGACTGGCGAGCAGCGGCCCTGGGGATTCAAATGACCATAAGGCAGGCTGAGCTAAAGCACTGAGTCAGCACAACAGGGGACCCAGCCCCAACATTGGGAAGCCTCCCAAGGGGGAAGCTGGTGAAAGTACCTGCCTCCCAGCAGGAGCCTCCTTGGGCTCTGGAGGTAGGAGGGTCAAGGAGAAAGGAGCCGTGTCTGCTGCCCTCCAAAAATCTCATGTGATTATAGGGAAGATATGGCTTGGAAGCCCCCGAAACTCCTGCTGTGTGTGCCTGGGCAAGTGACTGCTCCTCTCTGAGTCTCGGTCTCCTCACCTGTAAAATGGAAATAATCCTAGAACCCGCTTTGCAGCATAGGTCCTGCTTTGCAGAAATGTTCAGGGGGACTGAGGACCGAGTGAGAAAATAGAAGAGGAAGCAGCAGCACAGTGTGGTACCAGCCAGTAGAGGCTGCCTGCGAGGGGCAGGGACTATTCATCAAGGGGGGTCTGACAGAGAGGGCCCGGTAGGCCCAGGCATCATGCGGGCATTCTGGAGGGAGGGGCAAGGATGGGTTCCTGGTGCGATGAGGAACACTCTGGAATGAGGGCCCTGCAGGGACAGGCAGGATCAGAAGCGGACTGGTGAGGTCATGAGCCCGTTAGGGCCTGGGTAGGGACCCAGCAGGTCAGGGGGCACCAGACAGGGTGACACAGACCTGGGCCATGCTGGGGCACCTGGGGGCTGGTGGGGCCTACTGGCAGAGGCCAGTCAGCCCCCCCCCCACCCCCCTAGGGCCTAGGCTGAGACAGAGATACCTCCTAACCTCGCACCCCTCCATACTCCAAGCCCCAGGGGTTGAACCAAATTTCCCTGACGAACAGCTCTCTCTGCCCTGGCCCAGGCCACAGCCTTGCCTGCGCCATCCCTAGGTCACAGAGCCCCAAGGGCACACTGGCAGCCCCTAGTGCGGTTTCTCAGATGTAAAAAGCAGGCTCCTCTTTGACAAAGATTAACTCCTGGTCGCCCTGCAACGGGAAAGACAGAACCATCAGCCACAGGCCTGCTACTGTTCTTTCTGGGTGTTTACTGTTTTCCAAACACAAAATCATAAAATTCAACGTCCGTTTTCAAACAAAGCACAGTCCTCCCTCCCTCAGCCGGGGAGTTGCAGACCAGCCTACACTTTTGAAATGGATGATTTGCCTTCAAGAACAGAGGTAGGCAGGTAGAGCCTAATGTATTGTTCCAAATAGAAAGGACATCACTGTTTAGTGCTAAAGCAAGGTTTCCGCTTGGCTTTATCCCATTCCAGTTGGCACAGGAGTTTGTGAGAAGGAAGGGGCAGCAGATGGGGTTCCATTTCACAGATAAACAAACTGAGGCCAGAGGACCTCACCCAAGGTTGCTGGACAATCAGGAAAACAAAGACATTCTCCCTGCAGGTCAAGTTATTGGAGCCTCAGTATTGCTACACTGGGCTCCGAGGGGGGGCGGGCGGGAATGCTCCCTCAGGCTGCTTGGGCGATTGGTTGAGGCCAGAACTTAGTCTAAGGCCTTTAAGGCCAGGAAGCAGGAGCCGAGGCCAAGGCCGCAGTGGGACTTTGCAGCTGGCTGTGGGTTCTGATTCTGCTCTGCCACCTTGCAGCTGCGGGACCCTGCTCCACTTGCTTAATCTTCAGTTTCCCTTTTATGCAAAAGAGCTAATCATCCCAGTTTGCTGCGTTGTGGGAAGCAGTAAATGCGACCGATGCAGAGCCCTCAACAAGTGCCCGTCCCAAGAAAACGCTCTATGGACAGACCCGGGGGCCAGCCGGCCGCGACCTCGCCCCCGCCCCCGCCCCCTGGCGCGCCCTGGGTCGCGGGGACTCCGGGACGCGGGGAGGCGGGAGGGTCGGGAGCAGACTCCGCCCCCCGCCGTGCCCCCTCCCGCCCCCCCCTCCCGGCTGGATCCGCTTGGACTTCGCGGCGGCGGCGCGCGAAGGTAGGGTCGGTCTGCGCGCGCTCCCGAGGGCCAGAGTCGCGGGCACG